TCTCTCTCTATCATTAATTTTAAACATTTTAGTATTATTAATGTTTTTAGTATATAAGCAATCTATATTAACTTGAGTTAATTATATTGTTTATTGTATTAAATGTAATTTAGTTATAATGATGTAATTAATTGTACAATTGGCAGAGATCCAATATTTAATATGAGATTAATGTTTATTAGTAAACAGCAATTAATGTTAATTATATGTTAATCACTTTATCATAGTTTTAATTATGTCTTAAATTTAATTGTTTCAAACTAATACTAGCTTATTCATGGAATATACTATCTAGATAACAAGTTGTAAGTTTTAAATTAATGTACAATAATGTACATTAATGTAGTATAATTATGGTATTATATACATGGATATACGTGGATAATATACATTGTATCTGTGATCCGCATAATTAAATATTACTTAAATGTTAACATGGTTTAAATTAAAATTTTTAAATAAAAGTTAACAATGTTTTTTGACACTAAAAAAGTGTTAACTTTGCGGGAGGTGTGGCGCCATCTGTTGTCAACATTGAGTAATATTTTATACTTTTAAATAAGTTTTATAATAAATTATACTATTATTAATAATAATAATAATAATTTTAATAATAATTTATTATTAAATATAAATGTTTTCAATGCACCAAAATTAAACTTTTATTAATTCAATAGTTATTTAAACTTTTTATAAATTAATTATGAGTTTATATCAAGAATTTTGAAAAAAACATTAATTTATGGAAAAATTAAATTATAAAAAACATATAAATTATAATTAACTAAAATTAAATTATTAAACTATAATTAAGTCAAACGTCAAATTAAACACAAAAATTTCTAACCATTAAATCAAACCCACAATCAATCAAACACTAGTCACCCGTCTATTCAACGCTAAACCCCCGGCCATCCCGACCGCAGCCGCCCTGTGCTTATCGATCATCGCTATAATCAACCCTTTAATCGCCGGATGTATTAACAGACTATCGATCAGCGCTTTAGTGGTATCGCTCTCGTAGGCCAACACATCGCCGACCACTGAGCCCTTGTCCACCACTTTCCCACCGGCGGTAAACCAATGGCCAAACCATTTGCCCAAACCATTGGCCTGGCGTTTGCTTTGGCAGTCCATCTCGCGGTCATCCAACTCTTTGTCCGCCCGGAGCCGCTCTAACCTCTCATCCAAACCACTCAACACATGCCTCACAGACAATGCAAACTCAAACCCTTTGCCGGCGCTCTGGAAAGCGAGTCCAGCTCTACAGTCAACGAACCGGACCTCATGTAGACGTACGTCGAGCGCCCGGTGCTCGACATCGACGGTCAGTTGTCGTTCCCAAAGCACTTGGTGGAAGTGCTTGTCGTAAACTCGCAAATAATAGCCGCAACGGCGCCGGTCTTCGAGTAGGCAGAGGGCCGCCGGCCAGTGGACCGACCATTTGGTGGACAGTCGGGGCGCCCACACAAACACGTCTAGAAATACCATCGATACGGGCCTACAGTAGGCGCCCAAGAGTTTGACCCATCGTTTAACGGCGGCCACAGTCACGTACGTCGGCGGACAGTCACCCGTATGTGTCCACCAATCCCTGTGCTGGGCATCAATTCCGGAACCGTTGGACATGAGTTGCGATAATTGGCGTAACTATTCATTCAAACAAAAACGGTTAAAACTAAGAACACAATTAGTGTCCAAACAAATAGTATCTCTAACGTGATAGTCGACGGTGTAGTCGGGAATACCGGTCTCGACTACCGGTGAAGCGGCGGCGGCGGGACTGGCTTTGTGTCCAACGACTTGGGCCACTGGTGTGCACTTCTTGGCGACGGACATGCGTTTCCAATCGAGCCGTGAAAATGTCTGTTCCCAACGGTTCAACTCGCGGGCCAACGATCGCGGTATTTGCTTTTCATCGCCGCCACCGCCGCAGACATGCATACCATTGCCATCGACTTCTTCTTCAGCTGATGACTGTTTTTCAATAATCAAAATGTCTGTGTAATTGTATCAAAACTTTTACAATTGTTTACATACTCTTAGGGACGGGACGTATGTCAGCGATGGCGAGTGTTTGTCACTCTTGGCCACTGATGTTTCCTTTTTAACGATATCTGGGATTTGATTCGTTAACTCTTCGTCTAATATACCATTGAATATCTCGTCCACAATCTCGTCCATAGACTCGTCGTATGTCTGATCCAACATCTGGTCGTTGTCCTCATCAGTCGACGACAGCGGACACGGATTCGTACAGATCTCTGCCGACGACCACTGTTTACGCTATCAAAACCATCACAATATTTAGACAATTAATCAGACAATTAAGTGATTCATCGCTTACTTTGACAGCAGTCTCTTCGCCATCACATCCGGTCAGTGATGTGTGTCTTAACGATATATCAATGGGAATATCGCTGGTATTGATGACCTCTTCCTCCTCTTCATCGTTATCAGACACTTCTTCATATTCTTCCTCCTCTTTAACCGGAAATAAATGCCTAAACTTTTTAGCCATTTTTGTGGACACCAATTGATCCGATGGTTTACTATCTGTGAGACAACACTTCCCGATGTCTCCGCCGGCAGACCACTCAACTAACGGCACAGACATTGGCTGAGATAACAAGACATTAATTAAACATTTGTTATAAATAATTGTCAATACATTTCTTGTTTCATAATTACCATCATTTGTCTCGCTGTCAATGATCTGTCAGTTAGTGTTTTCAGTGATATGTCAATTGACTTCGGATTCAATACATCCACGTCTTCGCCGCCATTGCCATCATTTTCGGTAAATATTTCGATCTCTTTGGGAATTGTCGGAACAGAAAGACCATTGTTTGCCAACTTATGCCGCGATTTGTCCATTAATTTAGTAGTCATCAATTGGTCCAATACGGCCGCCGATGACAGTATCGCATCGGCGGTGCTGTAATCCACGCACTTCTCGATCACCTCATCCGGTATCTCATCGACGGTATCCAAACCATAACATTGTTTAACTTTAGGCACGTTTCGGGTGACCAACTCTTCTGACGTCGATATGTCGTGGGTTTGTATGAAATGTATGGCCGCAGACATCGCCTTCAAAGCCCTGTCCAACACTTCTTTGTGCGATATCTCTTGCGCTGGCGTTGTTGTTGTCGTCACCAACGGTTCCGTTTGTGTCCAACTTTCAATCGTCCACTTCTGCCGCTTACTAGCGGTGGTAACCAATGATGGTATGTCTGGCTGGCCATCGATGTCTCGGCCATCGGGACCTGTTGTAACCATAATGGATGTCTGGCCGCCGACCGCCACCTTATACTTCACGTGCAATGGCTGTACCGTCGGGTCGGCGCCCAATTTGCTGTCCAATCGGTGCCACGTTTTGTCGGCAATCAATTGTCTGAATGCTGTCGAGTGATTGATGTCCACAAACCGCAGACCTGTCCACCCGTTTGACACGTCGTTATGGCGCCCGAAGACATGGAACCGACTGTTGCGCCACTCGTACGCAAAGTCTCGGCCATTGATATCAAGCTCCAAGTGAATGGTCTCCAGATTTCGATCGTAGACACGGATCAGACACTGACGATAGCCGCCGGCATTTGATCCACCGGTGATCACCGCAACGATCTTCTTGTAGTCGATTGACCACTGATTGGTGTCCGCGCTCTTTGACCACAACTGCACCGGCGATGACGTGAATAGGACTTTGAATCCCTGTTTACTCAATACGCCGGTCAACCGTTGGGCGAGTGTCCCGTCCGTCACCGCCGATGATGTCATCGACAGAATAGATGACCGATTCTTGTGGTCATTCGCTGATAATTTGGATGACATTTCTTGTCTAACATATAATATAATAAGGAATTAATTAATCACTGATTATATTAATTATGGTTTTAATGGTTTTGTTAACCAATGCTTTTAATAGTGAAAACCAATATTAAATGTCTATTAAATGTCTTAACAGTGCTTTCATTGGCTAATCGCTTGGGAAAAACCCATTGAATTTCAATAACTATTAGCTAATATTGTCTGTCGACTCATTTAAATTGACCTTTGTAGTTATGCATATTGGTAAATAAAGTGCTTAAGTTGTATTTGTTCAACTCGCATACTGTATAAACCAGGTAAACTAATGGTCACTAATATTCAAGTGTCGCCACCACTTAATGTGCAAATAATTAAAAGTAACCTTGCGCAAATCACTATTCAATAACCATACGATAGGAAAGTTGATGTCATTTATGTTAATTACAAATTGATTAATCATATTCAGCCAAAATTCAATTACAAAATGCATTTATAGATTAATATATGAGTTAATTATGAATTATATTTTTAAATGCATATTAAATACTTGGAAAAAACAATTCATTGGCATTAAATGTATGAGTAATTTATATCTATTCAAAACCATTAATCAAATCATATTAAGCTATAATAATTAAGGTATGAATGGGTTATTCAAAATCATTTCAAACACACGTTTCTATTGCTATTAATATTGAAGGCATTGTCTGTTCACAAAAAACGTGATATCTCTGCGATTGTCGTCACTTTAATCCCATAATCTTAAGATAAGATAACGAAAAATGTCTATAAACTCAACCAAAACTTTTCCAGCATTTAACGGGCGGTCGTCGACAGCGATCTCATCTGAGATTAACCAACGAATATCTCAATCCCTGTGCGGAAAGGGCTGGAAAGTGTTGCTCACCTCACCTCAGGTGCAGCTATGGTCAAAGTCGGCCGACACCGGCGACCACTGGTCTATTGGTCACCAACGGGTGATCACTGTACTAACCGATCGTATCAGTGATGGCCAGTGTCTGGTACGGGTGTACGACCAGCACCTAAACACCATTCACTTCGAGCTGGACCTAAGACAGGCCAACTACTCTTACGAGCCAAACCAGTCGGACTTTCACGTGTTTAAAATGGCCGCCGGATGGACAGGGATCAGGTTTGGTGATCGGTCGGACTCTAACGAGTTTAAGAGTTTGGTTTACGAGCAACAACTGCAACGACTGAAGCGATTGGTAGTCAGAGGAGTGCCGGCGGAAAAACCAATAAACACGCCGTCGGTGGGCAAACCGATGATGATAATGGGTCCGGAGGTTAGGGCACTGCCGAGTTATAGCGATGTGACCAGTGTTAAGACACCAATAGATGTGCCCATAGATAGCAGATCGACACCACAACCGCCAGTACTGGCGCTCAAGAGTGACCGGTCGGCGGAGGTGTTGGAACAGATACGGCACGGGATGGTCAGTAAGGGAACGGCGACTGTAACCACCGGCCTGTCTTATGACGATAAGACAATGTCTTACAGGACATGTCTTGACGGCGCCGATGACAACGAGAGTCTCTTCTCGGATGTGACCATCAATGGTAATGGTCTGGATATGAATGTGAACGCACTGGTAGTGAGCGCTGGCAAAGACCATCCATTGCCACCTCTGCCGCCCCCACCGCCAGCCCTACTCTCGCCGACAGCTAGTAGTAGTGGTAAAACTTCTGGGGATCAGATGTCGGACAACAAATCCATATCATATCATGTAAGTCGAGGGGAGAGAGAGAGAGAGAGAGAAAATAAATTAAATTTGAATTTAACAAAATGTCAATACAGTTGAGCACTCTATCGAAACTGTCGGTGCCGTCAGATCTATCCGTTTGGGAGCGCCGGACAAACGCCGACTCGAAGACAAAGAGCGGCAAAAAGATCGCATACATCGAGAAGACTGTCATCAAACAGTTGGAAGCGCTGGTGGGCGACAAGTGCCACATCCTGTCGGTGTCATTCTTGGAGCTGTTCCTATGGGCGCCATATCTGTCCACCGAATGGCACGTCTGCCGCAAACCTGTGCTCTGTCTGGTGTCCGGAATCGATGACGAGTACTCGTCGGGCGACGACACGGACGACAACGAAGATGTGTTGGACAGCAATAATAGCCCACACTATTCGCTACGGATGTATGAGCTGAACGGCACCGGCAGTGGTGGCCGTATTCTATGGGAGAGTTCAGTGGACACGAGTGTGAGCCACAGAACACCGGACATCAGGTTTCAGGCGCTGGTGACCGACGACTGTATGGCTGGACTGGTGTTCGAGTCGGTGGGCCGGGGCGTGGAGTTCAGCTTTGCCATCGGTCAGGCTCTGGCCAAAGCCACTGTCAGATCGGTAGGTCTCGGGCGGCAGGACTCGCGTCGGTCACCCGATAAGGATCAGCGCAAACAACAGCCGTCAGGCGTTGGTAAGCGTATTAAGGGTTGGTTTAGTGGACGGCCTAAGAGTGGACAGTCCGGTGGCGGAGGAGCCACTGGTTTGGCCACCGATGCGAAGACCTATGATGTGAAAGAGACCAAACGTATGGTCAGCCGTGCGCTCAAATGCCGACCCCTCAGACGCCTGGTGTATGACCTGATCGATGAGCACCGGGACATTCAAACCAACCTTTACGATACGATTAATCGCCGCAAATAAATGAACTTGTTTATGTTTGGGTTAATTTATCATGAAATTTAATTTGACTGATTATTTACATGTTTAATGATTTTTGTAATAATTTTCTTTGTTTAATTAAATTTTACAATTAGCTATTAATTATAATTAATATAATTATACGCTAATTATTTTATAAATCATAGCATTTTGTTTTATAAATTAATGTATGACTCGATTGAATAATAAAATTAACCCATTAAATGAAAATGTTGATTAATTGACATAATTGTAGTTAATATAATAATTCATTTTGTTGGTACTCTTTGACTGAGCACATATACACCCTCTGACGAGTTGTGAGTTGTGAGTTGTGAGTTCACCCCGGATCAGATGCAGTGATGTTGATGACAGAGGGGTAGGATTTAGTTAACTAACTGTTAAAAGTTAATTGAAGTTTCAAATACTGATCATTGCTAATTGACTTACTGTATGAGACAATAAAAAAAGTCCGTTTCTACTATTGTTGGCAATACTCGGCCCATAAAATCATTTACTCTATGATTTAAAAAGACAATTAGTTTTACAATTTATTTACGAAACAGGATTTTATTTGTTCAAAAAGTGTAGATTAGATATGCATTGAATTTATTATAATTTATATGTGACAACAAAATGTTTTCGCTTTTCTAATTAAATTTAAATAAACAGTATCTATTTAATTTTTATATCAACCTAAAATAATCAATGTAATTATATTAATAATAATAATCACACAACAAATTAATTAACAGTACATTTAATACAATTTGCTTGTATTGAATTAATTAATGTAATATAAATGATAATTACATTAATAATTATACGACAATTAAATATTTACTTATAATGAAAATCCACAAGATCGATATCATGAGTATGATAAATATTGTAATTATTATCTTGGTAAAAGGGCTTAATCCACTCGACTCAATAGTTTTTGAGTCGAAAATAGGTCTTACCCCTCGACTCCGATGCTTACCCCTGTCAGTGTCCACTTGGGTCGCCGGCACAGCACTGGCAACGTGTTTGACAGTCACCACCGATCCCTCGTCGGAGTCCGATCTATCGGTGCCATCATTTAAATCAATCGATACAATACTATTGTCATCACCGCATACCGGCCCTCCGGACCCGTTGGCACCGGATTGGCCGGCCCTCTGACCGGCCATCGTGTCCAACACCTCACGCTTCCGGCGCATCAGTTCCACCTTTGCCTCGACTTGTGTCTGGAAATAGTTGGCCTCCGACTCGTCCACAAAACGCAAAATGACTGTCCGATGGGCGGCCCCACTGGTGGTCAGCTTATGAACCCACGGCGACCGCTCCACCTGATAGATCAGCTCCGGGTCGACGCAAGCGTCGCGTTTGCTGACCACACCGTCCGCGTCCACAAACCACGCCTCGGAAGTGATGGTCGCTCTGTACACACACTCTCCCCAATTCAGATCGTATACGCGCACGGAGTACATGACATGCCTGTGATCGCGGTGGTCTTTGATGAGACACACCACTGACTCCCGGCCGGCATAATTGTTTTCCCGGTGCTTGAATTTGCATACAGTGGTCGATAGCGATCGGCAGTACGGCTCCAGTAATGCGAACAACTGTTCGTTGCGCTCACGGCTTAACACCATCGATGTTCTGTTACCCTATTGTTTTTGGGTGAGGGAAAGGGAGGGGGAGAGAAAGCTTGTTATCAAATTGAATTATAGTTTAAAAACATTATATTAGCCAAAATTTAATACCCCGATAACAATACCATGCTGACAATTATACGAAACACTGCCACTCCTTGGCTGCACCACTAGTTGATGAAACTCGTGGCCATCAACAACGGGAAGTTCCCGGTGCTGTTCCGAGTCATCGATTCCGTCATTGGAACTCATTTATTAATGAAATGGGAGCACAAAAATCATTAACAAAATGGACAATACATTTGGGTAATACACATGCCGTTAATTTCGTTGAACTCAATTACCAATAAGCAATGACCAAGGTGCTTTGACTAGTTATTACTGTATATGTTATACCCTGATCATAGTGAGTTTTATAAAACTACTGTATTGCTATACTTGTAAATTAGTATTTTGATAAATGTCATTTATAAACATGAATATTAGTGAACTTTTTTATAATAAACAACTCATCTCGTAATTCTATACCTATTTACCAAAATAACCTGTGCCTAAAAACAACCAAGTCACATAGAGTTAGTGGACAGGTACCCATCGGTGCTATAAATAATTGCGCAAACATTAGTTAAAGTTTTTAACAATTAAAAACAATACCTAAACTACTAAACTATTTTATTAATCAACTAATACTGGGCTTCAGGTGTTACTCCTCGTCATCATCCGAGTCCTCTTCCGGTAGGCCTCCCATTGCGCCCCAAACCCAAGTCGACGACTGATCTCTGGTACGGTATGGCGACTGTCGGAGACGATTGCTGGGCGTATGACGGCTACTGAGTCCGGCCCGCGGTGTGCCCAACGCCCAGGCCTGTTGGGGCGGGTAATAGGGTTGTTGTGGGGGCGGTATTATGTGCAGTTGTGGGGGCTGTTGTGCCGCATACCCACCCCCTCTGCCTACCGGTGCGACAAAGGCCTGCTGTTCGCCGAACTGGAAGGACGAGCCGAAATCTCTCTGCCGATAAGCTGATTGCCTGAGCCCTCGATTCCGGTTATCCATTTGGGAAGTGCTGAGTCCGGCCCCCGGATTGTCCAAAACCCACGCATTCTGTTGTTGTGGTATCGGTGCCAGTGGTCCCCCATATCCACCTACGGGTGCCGCCGGCTGTGGACCCAAACCGACGGACGACGAGCCGAAATCTCTTTGCCGATAGGCTGACTGTCTGAGCCCTCGATTCCGGTTATCAATTTGCCGAGTGCTGAGTCCGGCGGGCGGGTTGCCCAACACCCAGGCCTGTTGCGGGTGATAGGGCTGTTGCACCGGCTGTAGCACTGGATAGCCACGCCCTCTGCCTACTGGTGCGGCGAAGCCCTGCTGGGGCTGATAGGCTGGCTGTGGTACTGGTGCTCCATAACCTCCACCCCCAGCGCCCCATTGTGATGGACCAAAATCTCTGGCCCGTTGTGTTGACTGTCGGCGCCGACTGCGTTGAATGGCCAGCTGTCGGCTCGTGAGTCCGGCCGCCCGTTGACCCGGATATCCGTTGTTTGGGTTCATGTCTTTGCGGTCAAAGTTCTCGGCGATCACTAGAGAGCGGACACAACACAAGCACTTGTTTGACAGTCTCTTTTCAAACTGATGCCCACTTTTGTTGTGGGCTTTGATTAAAAGTTTTAAAAATTAATTTTTTTAATTTGTTATTATTTTAACATTGTTTTAAAAATTATTTTAAAAATGCTTCAAATTACTAAAACTTTATATTTTTAATTTATTATTAACACACAAACACATTATAGTACAACAATTATACTATACCATAATTATAAATCATCCTGGTCACCATTACATACGTTCATATCACCTGATAGAATGAATACAAATTATTTTATAAGTAGCAATAACTAATATAAATAAATTATAAATGTCATTAAAAAACACGATAAAAATTATACCACAAAAAACACATCAAACACTTTATTAGCCAAAAACTAGTCATTTATACGTTGGGAATATGAACTGTGATAACCTGATCGAGAGTACGACCCATAGATATATCGGCCATCACTCTATCCCACATGTGAAGATTGGCCCGACACGAGCCGTCGGGATATGTGTTCCGTAACAACACGACAACATCGTTGACGAGCGCCCGGAGTCGGTGCCTATCGTTAATCATTGGGTGCGGATTGTCGTCGTCGACCCAACCCGAGCGGCCGAAGTCACCCCATTTGGCCACAACACCGAACGCAGACCTACGCCACGGCAACCACGTGTTGTCCGCAAAGATTAACGCGTTGCCGGTGTGAACGTCGCCGTGCGATATGGCCTCCCGGTGCAGGTATTGCAGACCTAGATGTTTATGAGTGTAATTATATCGTTAAAGTTTACTCATATTGAGAGAGAGAGAGAGAGAGAGAGAACAAATTTACCACGAAATAAATCGGTAAGCAGTCCATCGACTGAAGCGCCCATATGTGGCTCAGTTTGCATATACTGATTAATATGACCATGATCAGCTCTGTCCATAATCAAAACCATGCGCGTGTATGTGGTAAAGTGGCCTAACTCTACGCTATTCACTGCCTGGCGCTGACCTAAATTCACTGCTAATCGCAAACTGACCACATTCTTGTGCCGCACGTATGCCATCACCTGTTTTTCCAACTCGTGGTCTTCGATGGCATTTATATTACCGCCGGTGACCGTAATTTTGGCCGCAAACCTATGGCCCGGCTTCGCACCGGACACGGGCCGACCCGGAATGTGCTTAATCTAAAATGCATAACAAAATGCATAGTAATTAACACATTCTATATAACTTCAAGTTACTAAAAGCAATCTAGATGCTTACGTTGGCCCCGTATGTGCCCCCGTACACCACGGCGTGAGCACCAGCCCCGAGCTGGTCCGACCAGTCAATATTCAAACCGTGTTGTTTGAGCGCAGAGTCAACTAAAGCATCCCTAACCGCTATTACCGCCGGATCAGTTGGCTGCGCGACCCCGGGTTCCCAGTCCGTGGGTCGGCTCACCTCTACCTCCCCGACCGGTTCCTGTCTCACTCGGTATCCCATGCTTTGCTTATACCGTTTGTACGCCCCCTCCCGTGACTCCCGTTCCCTATTGGTTGACTGATAGGGTATAACCGGTCCGGACAGTCGACCCGCTCGACGCAGTTCGTCGGCCAACGCCCCGTACACTGTCGGCCCCCGATATGGTGTCCTATACTGTGGTAACATTTTGTATGCGATATTAGATTTGGGTTTTTGTCAATTAATTTGGGTTTTTATATTTTTTTGCATTAAAAATTATATTAAAAATAATTTTATTGTTTAATTCAATTTTTAATGTTTACATTAAAAGAATAATATTTTATTTTGTCTAGTAATTACATGATGATTGAAATATTTAATATAATTATATTATACTTTATTTTTAATTAAGTTCTGAATTGTATTCGTCGGATAAAACTTTATCCAAAAGTGTGACTGAATTACAAAAAGTGTTGATTTCTATGCAATCGTTGGAACCGTTCGATAGACCCGATTGTCGACAAGTATTACAAGACTATAACCACTGGTCTATTGACGCAAATTGTGTGGCAATTGATCCCAACTATAAGACTATATTAAATAATATAACAAATGATAATAAGTTTTGCAAAGAAAACATTTTATCAATACTTACAACAAACTGATTGCTAATATTTTGAGCCTAAAAACATTGATTTATAATATTGTTCACAAAAGTCATTCACTCTTTACTTAAGAACAAACTATAAGGTAGACCTTACTTAACTTGTTAATTTTAGCCTATTAATTTTAATGTAATCGTAAATTATTATCTATTATTATTTAAATTATTATCTAATTTGACTAACACTTGTTGGACACAAAATAAATTATACTTTTTAGGTAAAATAGTAATTTTTAAAAATTAATTAATTAAATTACCATAATTAGTAGTATAATAACTAATATTATAATGTTTAATAGATGACTAATAATTAACTTATAAAAGTATAACTAGTTTATAATTTAACGTAGGTTTACGTTTTTGTGATAAAATATATGGTTTTATCACTTGTTTTATAGATTTGTTTTGAAGAATTGGTTATATTGTACTGGTAATAATATTAACTGGTACAATCTGAAAATAAAAGTGGCATCTACCATATATTGTATGCCAGTAAATATATTAGTTTGTCTACTAGTAGACAATTAGTTATAATCAGTGGTAATTGTTATAAATTATCATATAAACTATAAAAATTTTATCAAGATTATACAAAATATTATAATTGTTTTATAACAACATGTAAAATTAGCAACGCAGCAATTAGTTATTCTTAAAATGCTCAATTATGACTAACTTTTTATGTTATTTGTTCGTCGTGTTTTCTTAATTATAATGTCATTAATTTAACCGTAATAATTAAATACATTTTACTAGTGAATATTTTAATAATATTTACTATCACTGACTATTTAATACGATTTGATTGGCCTATTCGAAATAATTAATAAATTATGCGTTATATAAACTTTAATTAATTTTTTGATTGAATTGTTAAATAATATCTACCATAAACTGTTTATACGAATGATATATTGGAATGTTATATTAATTGTTTATTTATCATTTATTAAACAATTTAATATAATCCATAAAAATGGGATCCAATTTATCTGCAAAACGCGAGGAAAGAATTATTAATAAAATCAATATATTTCATGTTTTCAAAGATGTAAACCCTATTAATGCCGGCGGTTATAACATATTGTTTGTAACAAACGATGATTTAGTTTACGGCATGGGATCTAATATTTTTGGATCACTCGGTTTGGGACACAATAGGGCTGTCAATACACCACAAGTTATATCGGAATTATGCAATAAAAAGATTCAACAGTTTATTAATGGCAATTTGTTTCTATTGGGTATTAGTATATATAATTATTTGTATGAGTGGGGTTACAGAGAACGTGGTGAAGTGACCCGAAAATTTTTTAACAATTCAATATGTTTTCAAAGGCCTAAACCCATCAAACATTTTAACGGTACAGAAATGCTTGAAATAAGTTGCGGTGCCTCACACGCATTAGCGCTCACCACCGATGGCCAGGTATATGGATGGGGTGATAACCAGCATGGTCAGGTGGGTTGCGATAATTCTGAATTATTCATTAATACGCCACAACAGTTACGTTTTATTGATAAATTTGGAAATAACAAGCAGATTATAAACATATATTGCAAGTTTCACTATTCATTTGCCATAACAACGGATGGACTGGTGTTTAGTTGGGGTCAAAATTATTACTACAATTTGGGACACAATATAACACCGCATGTAATGAAACCGCAATTAATTGCAAATTTATATAATATTAAAACCGTTATTTCTGACCCATGTCGGTGTTTCTTCCTTACAACCGATGGTTATTTATATTTTTGCGGAGAAATCGATTCATATATGAATAAGCATTTTACAATTAATAAAACACCTACATTATTCAACGATAATCAACCAATAATGAGTGCATTGTATAATAATAATATAGTTATAGTTGATAATAGAATAGCTATAAACAACATGTGCAACAACATTGTGTTTACTAATCACACAAATATATTTGATTATTATTCTAGTGAATTAAAAACGACACATAAAACCATACATTTAAGAGATTTTAATGATTATAATTATAATAGTATTGAAGAATTCAAATTTAAATGTGTTTTATTTTTACGAAATTTGTTTATTAATATCAAGCAATCAATCGATGGTATGATTATTCGTACATATTTTATGTCAATTTAATCATTTTTAAAATGTACTCTCATTTAGATATGACACTTCAATTACAGACAGACTCAAAAAATGGAGATTATAAATTTATTAAATTCAAGACAACTAGTAGATTTATTCAGGGATTATCACTTAGTAGATATGATAAATATTTTAACCAATTCGGTGTATTGGGTGCAGGTTCATTTGGCATTGTATTAAAAGTCGGGATAAAAGGAGTGTCAACAGAAACAAAGATGGCTTTGAAAGTCATAAAATTCAATGGTAAATTTGAAATTAAATATCAATATTTAAAAAATTTTACATTCTATTATTCTGGTTTGTGAGTAATACCCCAATTGTGGTTAACGTATAGCATCGCTGTGTGTGAGTAATACCCCAATTGTGGTTAACGTATAGCATCGCTGTGTGTGAGTAATACCC